TTCGAGCTGGGCTCCCTCATCTGCGGACTGGCCAACTCCTCGTCCATGCTGATCGGAGGGCGAGCGATCGCTGGCATGGGGAGTTCGGGGCTGTTGAACGGGGGAATGACCATCATTGCTGGCTCGGTGCCGCTGGAGAAACGGCCAAGTGCGTAAGTCGGCATTTGGAGTGAGAATCATCGCTAACAATACCCCAGTCTACACCGGAATCTACCTTGGCAGTAAGTCTCCTGTCTACTGATCTGGAAGAGGACAATCAGCTGAACCATTCCAGTCTCGCAGGTCGGCATCATCTGCGGCCCCTTGATCGGCGGAGCGCTCACCCAGTACACAACCTGGCGATGGTGTATGTACCTTTCGACATCCCCGGGTGCAACCATTCTGACCATGACCAGGCTTCTACATCAACCTCCCCGTCGGCGCCGTGACTGCCGTCCTCCTCCTCTTCATGCACGTCCCCGAACTCACCACCAAAGCCCCCTTCTCGCTGGCTCTGGTCCGCCGCACCCTCCCAGATCTCGACCTCCTCGGGTTCGCCCTCTTCGCCCCGGCCGCCGTCATGGTGCTGCTGGCCCTCCAGTACGGCGGAAACGACTACAGCTGGGTCAGCTCGGTGGTGATCGGACTGTTCTGCGGCGCCGGGGCGACGGCCATCGTGTTCGCGCTGTGGGAGAAGCGCATGGGCGAGCGGGCGATGATCCCGACGTCCATGGTCAGCGCGCGCATCGTCTACTCCAGCGCGATCAACGGAGGGATGCTGGTGGCGTCCATTCTGGTGGCGGCGCAGTACCTGCCCATCTACTTCCAGGGAGTGCGTGGGTACGGGCCCGCCATGAGCGGGGTGAACACCCTGCCGGGCATCTTGAGTCAGTTGCTCATGGTCATTCTTTCGGGGGCTTTCGGTACGTCCATAACCTACTCCAAATCTTGCCGCTGGGTAGGTTGAAAAGCGTCTGACGGCATGCAGTGCAAAAACTGGGGTACTACCTTCCCTTCGCTGCGGCCGGCAGCGCCATCAGCGCCGTCGGCAACGGTCTTGTCACAATGTTCGCCCCTTCGACCCCAACAGGCAAGTGGATTGGGTATCAGATTGTGCTGGGCAGTGGGCGCGGTATAGGGATGCAGATGGTACGCTGCCCTTTTATGAATTACACGCTGCTACAGCACACAACATCTCTTTCGCTGCCATCCAGACACCAAGCTAACAAAGTGCAGGGCATCATCGCCATCCAGAACCACCTCCCCGTCCACCTGATCCCCGTCGGCATCGCCTTCATGATCTTCTGCCAAAACTTCGCCGGCGCCGTGTTCGTCGTCGTGGCGGAGGTGATCTTCCGGCAGCAGCTCGTCAAGGAGATCCGGCTGCATGCGCCCCAGGTCTCGGTGGACGCGGCCCTGGCCGCTGGGGCGAGCGCGAGCTCCGTCCGCGCGTTGGTGCCGGAGGGTAGTGGCAGCAGCGCGGAGCTGGCGGGGGTGTTGTTGGTGTTCGCGAATAGTCTGGATAAGGTGTTTTACCTGCTGATGGCGTGCTGTTTGACGGGGTTTGTGGCAGCGTTTGGGATGGGGTGGGTCGATGTGAGGAAGAAGAAGACGATTGCTGAGGGGGAGGAGGGAAAGTAGGGTTAGCTTACACGATGGCTGTGGACAGCTGGTGCTGGGGTCGTTGTTTTGTCAAACCCCTCTGGTTTGTCAAACTTTCGTTGGTCTTCGAAAGAACATTTCTTTTCATTTCCTTTCAATTCTTGTCTATTACGTATTATAATATCTTAATGGCACCTGAACACAGACAAGCGTACTTCTCAAACAAAATAGCGAGCCCACATTTTCATTCTGGATATCAGTCCCCATGCTTTTTGTTCGCCCGTGCAGAGTGCAATTGGTTCTCTGCCTCCTCTCTTGGAAAGAATATCAAATTATCAAAATCGATCAAGGACGCGACTGAGAAGCCTAGAAATGCACCCCGTGCACCTGCTGCTTCATCTTCTTGACATCGATGTTCTTCCAGAAGAAGCACGACGACCAGGTGATCAGATACAGACACGTCGCCGTGATCAGCATCAGCCGCTGGGTCTCGCCGTAGGCCGAGTCGATGGCGTCGCGGGTGGCGGTGCCTCGGGCGTAGGACTGCTGCACGTCCAGCGAGCCGTAAATCGTCGCCCAGTCGGCCTGCGCGGACGCGGGCAGCAGCGACCGCAGCTTCACAGGGAAAATGCCCGTCCACATGGCGACAGCCACCGTCCCGCCCAGGGCGCTGCCGATGCTGGCGACAACGCCCTCGATGGCCAGGATGGCCGGGATGTTGCGCTGCGCCGACACGGCCATGACCGTCATCTGCTCGCAGATGACCAGGGTGCCACCCCCAAAGGCCACAAAGATCTGGCACATGACGATGTACCCAATGTTCACGTCGGGCTGGCGGAACTTGATCATCAGGCCCACACCCAGAATGGTCAGGGGCACGCCGAAGCAGATGGCCCAGTACTTCAGGCGGCCCTGGTAGCGCAAGATGGCGCCGAAGACCAGGCACCAGAAGCACGAGCCGATCGTGTATATGTTCGAGATGTAGGTGGCCTGGGTGACGGTCTGGTTGAAGACCACCTGCAGCAGGCTATAGAAGTAGCTGTCCCAGATGTACCAGGCCAGGTAGAGGGAGACGACCATAGAGAAGGTGAAGACGACGGTGCGGTCCTGGATCAGCGCCCAGGGCATGAACTGCACGGGGGCCCAGAAGCGCTCCCACACCACGAAGGCCAGGATCAGCAGGGCGCCGATGGTGATGAAGCAGATGATCAGCGGCGAGCGCCATTCGTTGGCCTGGTACGAGTACAGGTTGAAGGCCAGCAGGAAGAGCGAGAAGCCCGTCGCGATGATGAGCAGCCCCACCACGTCGAATTCGATGGCGTAGTGGACGATCGACTGCGCCAGCGTGCGCCCGCTGCGCTCGCGTTTCTCCGTCAGCCCCATCCGCTCAGCCTTCTGCTGGATGTAGTACCACAGCCCCCACAGCGGGGTGCAGACGATGGGCATGATGATGGCGAACACCCCGAATCCCCAGCGGTAGCCGATGCCCCCCGGGGCGACGATGCGGTCGGCCGCGTACCCGTAGATCCAGGGAGTGATCAGGTACGGCGACGAGGCGTAGGCGATCCAGAACGCCCGGTTCTTCAGGGCGGTCGTATCGGCGATGAAGATCGTCATCGAGAAGTCGATGCAGCTGAACCCGATCTGGTAGAAGACCTGCGCGGCGCAGTAGGTCTGCACGTTCTTGCAGGCCGCCATCATCACCAGCCCTAGCGTCAGCGAGCCCACCGCGACGGCGAACGCCTGCGGTCGGCCCCAGATGTCCATGAGCTTTGCGTAAGGAAACTTGACCATCGCGGAGATCAAGGAGGCGATGACTGAGGTCAGACCCGTCAGGGAGTGCAGGGCGAAGCCGCTGTAAATGTAGGGGGACAGGGAGCCGAGGAGGCCGGAGCTGAAGTATTCGAGGAAGTTGACGATCCAAGCCCTAAGAGGGGATGTGGGTTAGTGGGGAATGTTTCAGAGCGACTGATCGGAGACTTACAGGATGTAGGCTGCAATCAGGGTGTTCCTCGTCCAGGCTTGGGTGCTCGCCTGCGCCTTCTGGGTACCCGACTGCGCCTTGTCGTCGATGATTGTATCATCGTGCGAGGAGCGATCGGTCTCCTGTGCTTGGTCAATGGGGTGCTTCGTCTCTACAGTTGTCTCGAGATCAAGGGCCCCAGTCTCAGACTGTGCCTCGACAGCGCCCTTGGCTGCGAAAGGGTTGATGAAGCGGTTCCGGAGAGCCATAGTGGTGGTTGTCGGGACCAAATGTCACGAACAGCAACGCAGGCTGGGACGGGCCTCAACCTCTACTTATACTTTAGTTGCCATAGGGTCCCGGACAGGTGGTCCGATGAGCGGAAAACAAATTTCCCTGCAGTATTGCTAGGCCGAATTAATTTAATCTGGGAGCATGACTCGAGGCATGGACTAAGGAAAGAAGGGTGCAACAGAGAACCGGATAACCCGACTGCAGCAGCGACAGCAGTCATCCTGACCACGCTGGCTTGGCAATTAATGAAGGAGTGGCTCTACTGGCCCCCAAAGGGCCCAAACCAAGGAGGAAGGCAAGTGCCAAGAGGGTTCAAGCAAGGGCAAGAGGGGGCGCGGAGCCTTATCAGATTATCTGATTGATTGACTAGATTGATTAGATTGATCTTTGGCTCGTATCGAGTTCCTCTTTGGGCCTTAGTGCCTTAGCGCCTTTATTCCTTCCGGTCAATTTTCCCCCTCCGGGTTTTCTCCGAGTCATGAATGGCGGCGTTGGATGGGGCCCACGAGCCTCATGGCCGGTTGACTTTGCTGAGAGTTTGCGCTACCAACACACTTGACTCGGTGAAGTTTAGCCTGGTGGCGTGGGGAAAATTCTACCGTTGCGTGAGAAGGCTTGTCCTGGTGAATTGCCTGCAATGACTATGATTAGAGCATTTATGGGATGACTCGGTCATTTCTGTGCTGCGGCAGGGTGCTAAAGACGTCGTGGGTGTATAGAGCATTCGACCATTCGACGGGGGGGTAGTATTGTGAGTGTATTTCCGATTGAACCGCTGCAGCACTCCTGGGTCACCAGGACGGGGAATACTAGAAAACCCTGACAGATCAGATGATTCCAAATTCACACAAGCTTATCAGCACGCCCCACCCTGCGCATTCCAGACTAGCTAACATTCCTCCTGTGGGGAACGTGCGTGAGAGGCCTGTCTCGCCCTTCCTAGCTTCGGCTGAATCGTCCTTGAGTGGATAAAAGCCAGTTGGGAGAGATGGTTCGACCAGGATTTGTCATGGAGTGCCCTATATGTAGTAAGGCGGCGACTGATGAAACCAGCTTGCATTTCTACTGGCCGTGCATCCAATATTATCTTCTGAGCTATAGAATACATGTATCATTGGGGACAGAATTACACCGTTTAACACGGCATCATATACACTCCACCCTAATCGTCCGCATCGAAATCCTCCGTTCGAGTCTTCAGAACATACCGCGGATTCTCAAACTGAGGATCCTTCTCTCGTTCCACCGTAAGCTTGAATAGCTGCTCGAGGAATTGCTCCATCTTCATCTCTTCTTTGGAACGAGAGGCCCGTCCGAGGTTCTGTAGCCATGTAATCCGCGAGAGAAGATAATAAACGGTGGCGATGAAGATGATCACCCCGATCGAAAACCCCCACACTACGATCACCGTCACGATGCTCGTTGGGCCCTCAGAGAAAGTGGCCGGGTCGGAAGGGTTCGTCTGCTCAAATGCGCCCCCCGTGAGCCACCCAAACACACAGAAGAGGGTGGCGATGATGTCCACTCCTAGGATGGCGCCCACCGGCTGCCAGGAAGGCCATGTATGGGCCTCTCGCGTGACGAAAATCAGCCAATTCTCGGTCAACGCCACTTCCAGGAATAGAATGCCCTGTGGGTGTCCCAAGTTCTCGATAATTCCCCCATTCGATAGGAACATTGTGCCTCGCATGATCCACGTGCCGGCTGCCAACAGCACACCGAGTACCACCGAGATCACCCAGATGCGTGGCCGTCACTCATCAGCCTGTGTCCTGTCTTGTACTCTCACTCATGCGTCTTCTCTCGTGGTCGTGTCTTTTCTTGTCTCTCGCTTCAGGCCTATCTCCTTTGCACACATCTCAGGACACTTGCTCTTACCAACACACGGCGCTATGACTTTTGATATCACGATCGAGGACACTTCAGATGCGAAACCCGGTCTAACATGCTTGTACTTCCAGCGCAATGGCCAGAGGATCTCGCCATGGCATGACCTTCCGTCGTGGGCGGATCGGGAGGCAGAGATATTGAATATGATCGTGTAGATTCCGCGACGCACAAATGCAAAGATGGAGGTATGAGGTATGCGTTGACACTGTTTTTTTTCTCTCGGACACTTGATCCCCCGATAAGCCCCGCAATCGAACAGACTACGAAGGAGGTCGCTCACAACCCAATCAAGCAGGATATCGGAGCGGGGAAACCCAGAAAAGTGGCCGATGTCCCGCCGTTTCAGGGCTATCCGTGCAACTACGGTGCTATTCCACAGGTGAGCTCCTCATCAATTTCCCGGGTTCTTGGAGTCGTTGAAGACCTGGTATTGCATCTATAAGGTGCCTGACGGACGCAGTCCCAATCGGCTGGCGATGGACGGCAAGCTGATGGATCGGCAGTAAGGTTATCCTACGGTTGGGTTGAGATTATGCTGACGCGCTTGGTTAGGTTTGCATTGAGGCTGTTAGACCATTGTCATGAAGCGTGAAGACCGAGGAGGGGATTCCCCAATAGCATTTGAGCGATCCGGGCTGTGTAATGAGGCGGATTTCTCAGTTGAACGTAGGCAGCATTTATTGTCATGCGATGCACTATTGCCTACTTCTCCAATGCTAATACTGTTTTGCTCTTATCTTGTTCTTTCATGATATATGTCAAAATAATTCTAATTCAATGGAGTTCTTATTCGCTGCTTTGCTGTTATGAATCTTCCCTGACTTAGGAGCTCGGTGGTATATCACAAACGACCAGCTCGTTATTGACTGGGGGATATCTACTATGCTGTACTCGCACTGAAACAAATCGGAGTCTCTAGTCCACGAGTCCACTTCAGGCTTCCGATCTCCACCACCAACAAGCAGAAGGCTACCACCACACTAATGATGCCATACACATAAGCGTGCCGGGGACGCAAGTCGATTAACTCCAACGCCCATGTACTGACTGTCGTCAGACAGCCGCAAAACCCGTCCATAATTCCTTGCAGCACCTGGCAGCCAGTGACGCTTCCCCCACCCAGAGTCGCGGCACTGATTGAGCTGTGCTGTAAACAGTAGGCCATCCCTAGCACCGCGGTTCCTGTTGTATTCGCCGCGAAGGTTCCCAACGGGAACGCGGCCACACGGCTGTTGAGCTTCAGCGATAAGAAGAACCGTGCGAGACAGCCGACCGGGGAGAACACCAGCGCAAACACCACGGGACCACGCCATATCTCTGCACTCCATAGGGTCGGGTCCAATGCGTACCGCGGTAGCAGTGCGACGAGGCAGATGAGCGCGATCCAGGATAGAGTGGCCAGCGGAATCATGCACGGGTTGACAATCCGTTCCAGCCACCATTGCGGCAAACGGGGGGTCCAAGAGGAGACGAACACCGCCGTATGGGCTCCGAGCTTGATGCTGAACGTGGATAGCCCGACTTCGAGGAGGAGCACTGCGATGATCGCCATAAAGCTGAAGCCGCCGTTGGGAGCCTTGGGGACATCTTGCGCGGCAGCGAACAAGGAGACGTCTGAGTAGGGGCCCACAGGAACGGACAGACCATTGGACAGGGCGAGGAAGAGGTCGCGGATGAAGGTGGAAAAGGAGGTCAAACTCCCACAAAAGCCGGTGGTCAATCCGATGTAGAGGGGAATCGTCTTCTTGTGTGCGGTCAGACGCGCCCTGCGCTGGCCATCATCCTCGTGTTCGACTTGGATGTCCACTTCTTTGAACCGAAACAATCCTTGATCTTCACTGAGAAATCCCATGATGAAACATCCTCCAACATTGGCCCATAGCACACTGGTGTTGACAGGGGCTCCTGGGTAGAAGGTCAGGCTCTCGATGACCATTCTCAGTAAAGTGCCCAGGAATGAGAAGAAGACTAAATAGGCGATGACATAGGGCATGCGCATGGAAGTTGACCGAAGGCCCCTTCCCTGCTGCTTCTCAGCTTCTTCCCTTCCCACCGTCGTCGCATACCCATTTGGATCCTGTTGCGACTCCCGTTCCACGTCTTCTTCTCCTCTCCTTGCCTGGTGGGATAATTGGTTCTCGAGATGATCCTCATCGGGACGATCGTATACCGGTGGCGGGGCGGCGACCTCATCGAGATTGATTTCGGAACCGGAATCGGATTCAGTCATTGGTTCCTCTCTCAGGGACGAGGTTGAGGGTCGTTCGTGTTTCTCGTGTTGCACCTGAGCATTGTACTGAGACTGCATCTTCAGGACAGTAGCAAGCACGATTGTGGTGGGAAGAAAATTCCAACCGGTCTCCCCCTGCCTTGAATCGTTGACTTTGCGAGCAACGCGGCAGTCCCGGTTATCGCGGTAATCACGGCCCGGGCGGCCGGCGGCCCCTCTATTGTCGGATCAACTGATGCAGAATTCGAACTTGAACCTTTCACCGACTATCCCATCCCATACTGCAGCTACATCAATCCTAATGGGAAGGTTAGTCTCTCATTACGTATCTATCCGGTATGATTGCCTTCAATTCTCTTGATCGTGATGAGAGAGATGCTTGCAATTCATGGTGATATCACGTGATCGGCCATGAGGGAGTGCTGACATAAGCACAGCCCCTTCATTCTCATTCATTCATTCATTCATTCTCTCTGGCTTCTGCATTCACAGCATTCCTTTTCCACATCACTAACTTCCGAACCAGCATCCTGTCGATATGCATCATGAAGCGCCAGAGGGCACCGATTGCTTGTGAGAAATGTCGGCTACTCAAGGCCAAGTGCGATGGGCGACAGCCAGTTTGTACTCGGTGCGAGGGCTACGGCTTCAAGTGTTCATGGTCATCACGTAAACGAAAGGTTCCATTGCCGGAACCGGAGACTGCGAGAGATATGTCTTCTAAGGAGCCACAGCACCAGGCTTTGTCGGACGAATCAAAGCATGACGAGTTGGCAAGCTATCAAAGAGCTGTGCGGCAATATGAATCTCTGATGCAGGAGCTACTATCGAGCCTCGATCCGAACCAGAAAGGAACCCTAAATGCTAGTCTAGACACAATCCGTCGTCAGCTGCCTGTAAATGCCACGGATTCGAGTCTGGAGCAACCTGCCTCGATTCGAGAACCGAGCACTGTTTCCAGCGAGGCGGGCGTGGATTCACCCGCCACCTACGTGGGCAAGGCGAGCGATATCCATTTCATACATCGCATTCGCCAGTGCTATCAAACCGGGGCCTGGACTGCGAGAGAACCCTCGCCAGCCGAAAACTATAGTCAAACTCATATCACCAAGAGCCTGGCCGGGTTGACCCAGCCTCTCATCGTTCCGACTCCAACCGAAGCGCGAGGCTTCATAGAGGTTTATTTGTCCACCATCCATGTCGCTTACCCGTTTCTTTACCGAGAGATTCTCCTGGAGCAGTTTCAGGTCTTTCAGGCCGGTGATTACGCGGCCCAGGAATTTGAGCCCTGGCTTGCATTGTTCAGTAAGACAAGCTGTTTTATGCGTCTGCATATATCATGTCATCACTACTTCTAACAGCGGGATAGACTTTATTTTCGCTATCGGCTCCTACTACACCTCTTTTCCACATCGATCTGGGACGGCTTCCTCCGATCATCTGCGATACTTCGAGCAAGGAGTATACTTTTCTCGGGAACTAGGCGCAACATGCTCCTTGCTGAGTGTGTGGGCCTTGATAGTGCAATGTTTCTTCCTGCTGGCGATTTGCCACACCGATAGGTAAGTTCATCATGATCAAAAACCTTGGGTTTGAGCTTGATGACTCACCGTAACGACAAGGTGCTGGAACACACTTGGCTTTGCCATCCGCATGGGGCAGAGCATCGGCCTTCATGTGGAATCGTCCCCCATGCATACCCGGACATCATGGATGGCCGACCGGGCGCACTGGCGGCGAACATGGTACTCGATGTATGTTCTCGATCGGCTGCTTGCGCTTCAGCTCGGCCGTCCTATGGCCATTCACGAAAGCGAATTTCAAGTAGAGATGCCCTCTGTCTCCGATCCTTTCCCGTTTGGCCGGAATCCAACTGCGTCCGCGGGGTCTATTACGGCAAGCAGAGATACATCGACCGGCTCCCGCATGGACTACTTTATTGCTGTCATCCGGTTCTCTTACTTGGTGGGTGCGGTTATTCGGGAGTTGTACCGGCCCTCGCAGATCGATGTGGCCCCGGACGTGATGCTCAACACCTCGTCGGCTCTGGATCAACGGCTCAGCGAATGGAAGAAGGGACTGCCACGGCATCTGCGGTTCGACCTGGGTCATACTTTTGAGAGCTCGGTCACCTTCATGCGACAGGTATGTAGCAGTCCTCTAGGTCTCGTGTATGACTAATGTGACTCACCCACCACAGCGTAATATGCTGGCCGTGAAGTATCATCATCTACGCGCTTTGATCCACAGACCCTTTCTATGCCTTCCTCTCCTGCAGACCAACAACCATCCGTTTATGGAACTGCTGCGTCGAGAGAAACACCGAATCGCCCAGGCCGAGTCCACTTGCGTCCAGGAAGCACGGCAAACAGCGCAGCTGCTCCACAATTTGGTCGACGAGCGCAGTCTAGTACATGACTTCCCCTGGTGGCAGATGATCTCGTGCTTGATCTGCGCCAGCTCAATCCTCTTTGTGGCCGAAGCTTTCTGCCCGAACCAAGACTCGTTTCATAGCACCACATCTGCGCAGGATCTCCGAGAAGATGCCGAGACCTGCTTGAAGGTCTTTGAGGCGCTGAGTGCTAACTCGGCCGCTGCTCGAAAAGCGGCCGACATGCTGAAAGCACTTTCCAGCCTACATCATTCCATGCATAGAGGTGTGTGCAGATTCTTCCTGTTTTGGTGGGTATTTCTTCTCATTTTGGATAGCTGCAGCGCCGTCGGCAGTCGTAGAGTCTACCTCACAGCCGTTATCGCTCTTACCACAACCCCTCAGCGACACCGATCCTGCTCTTAATCTCGACTCTGCCTCGGTCACGTCGTCACACATCATGCCAGACGATCTCCAGTTCCCTGGGGAATGGCCTAGTGAGATCTCCAGTGCGATGGCGTGGTCGGTGCAGTTTTTCGACCAGCCTTCGGCTCGGGCTGCAGACTTTCCCTCTGGGCCAGAAGAGCATCCCTTTGCATGAAGTGCATGGGGTGCATGGAAAGTCCTTGTTGTGTCATTTATATCGAGCATAGCGCAGCGAGTGCACGTCCGGTGGATCCGCTTGCTGCCTTAGGCACCTATCCTGCGCCACCCATTGCCAAACTCGATTGTAAAATTGACCTGCAGATCCAATTTTCAAGCCACAGAGAATCGATAGCTTCGCATGTTCTGACCACCTTAGGTCTGGCTTGTATCCAGGCCTGGACCGATCAGGTGGGATCGAGCGAGGTACGGCGTACTCCGTGGACAGTGGCTTGTCACCCCCTTAACTAGCCCTAATGCGGTAGGCTCCTCGCTAGGATTTCCCCCAACTTGCTTTCAGCTCCAAGATTTTGTCTCCACCGCGATTCTCGGTCAAGTTATCGATAGGTTCTAGTTGATCTGAATCCCCCAGAAAGGCTGTTCCACAATGCTGAGTGGGATCGCGGCCATCTGACGCCACCCAAATCCCAGCTGCCTTTAAATAACCACCTAGCACCCATGGTTCCTACGTCGCGGCCAGGCTAACGACGTCCGAGGTCCGATTTCTCTTTCGTGCTCCTTTTCGCTGGCATTCATTGTCTGTCTTTTCTGCCCATGCCATTGTGAAAGTCGATCCAAGGCTCTTACTGAGCTCTTCTCATTCTTTGATCCTCACCCCCAACCTGAGCCTCATACCTAGAAACCAGTCGTTACCGTCCTCGCCATGAAGGACTTCTCAGTAGCCAGTGGGCTGCTTCTCCTCTCAGCCCTGGCCCCCGCCAGTCTGGCAGCGACTATTGCTCTTCCGGCTGCCGGTGCTCCCAGTGTTTCGATCGCCACCGTGACTTCGACCTATCCCACCACTGTCACCAACGTTGTCACCACCTCTTCGGCAGTGGTCACCACCAGTGCTGTCTGTGCGACTGGCACGGCCTCTCTAGGATCCGGCTCTTCATGCTCCAATTATGCTTGGTCCTCTGCCGGTGCTTACTATCGGGAGATGTGTGACGGCTCCTCCATCAGTGGAGCAGTCACCCGAGCTGTCATGAACGTTTACAGTCGCCAGGCAAATATCAATGGCTGTGAACTATATTGTCGCATCTTTAACGGCATTTGTAATGCCGTCAATTACTACCCGGCGGCGAGCAGTTGTCAGTACTTATGGGCCACCGGTAATGCAGTGGTCTCTGCCTCGGGCTATCAGGCGCTCAGTACTTACTCCACCAACCCATGCACGGAAACGGTCACGGCCATGGAGACCGACTATTTGACCGAGTATGTGACCAGCCAGGCCACTACTGTCTATACGGTGACGGTGACGGTCCCGACCAGCTCGGCTACATCGACCGTCATTTCGTTCACTCCTTCTCCGGTGTCCTCGGCTGTCACTCCCACGGCTGCGGTGCCATCGAGTGTTGCGCCAGCCTCATCCGTGGTTCCTTCATCGATTGTCATTCCCTCATCGGTTTCTTCGGCCCCTGCAGCTTCTTCCGCTCCTTCTTCCGCTCCTTCTTCCGCTCCTTCTTCCGCTCCTTCTTCCGCTCCTTCTTCCGCTCCTTCTTCCGCTCCTTCTTCCGCTCCTTCTTCAATCCCCTCATCGATCCGACCATCGATTCCCTCATCTATTGCCTCCTCCATTCCAGCTCCCTCTCCTTCGCTATCCCGCTCCACTCCCGTCGTGGCTCCCAGCCCTAGTGCCGGCTCCTCTTCCCTCCCTTCTCAGCAACTCAGCTCGCCGTCACCCCTGACCCAGTCATCCTCCGTCCTTATCCCGCAGCAGTCATCGTCCGCTCCCTCGCAGCCCGCGCGGGTCTCTTCTTCTGCAGTGATCCCGGCCCCTGTCCAGTCCTCTGGCAGTGCTCTCTCCTCCACTCCATCCTCAAGCTCCACTCAACCCTCAGTGATCCCATCGGCCGCCTCGAGCTCCTCCGCCGCTGTGGTCTCTCCTCACACCACCGAGCCCCCGACTGCTTCCGGGGAGGGCGACGAGGACGTGGTGACATCGACTGTCTTGGCTACAGTTACGGTCACGGTCCTGTCCGACTGTGATCAGGAAAGAGTTTACTGATGAGCTGGGTTTACCTCTTCTGATCTTGGTAGTTGCGATGACGTATGGGATGCTATGGCTTCCTGGCAGAATAAGACTAATTATGTATGATTTAATTAATGATGACATTTGCAGTTCACAAGGTCTGCGTAGCTCCTACCACCGTACTGCGAGAGGGACTCGTTCCCGATAGGAGGTGTCGCCCGTTGAACGCGACCATGGAGATACATACAGGTGAATAGACCTGATGAAGGACCCAATTGTAGAACCGTGATGTTTCCGTATCGGATCTTCAGCATTCAGAAGCAAAAAGAGCTCTCTGACGTGTAAGAAGGAAAGGTAAACGAAGTACTTTACGCTTCCGTGGTCCCTTATCAGGGGTGGTTCAAGATGGTCCAACAAGAATATAGTCGACACAGGATGCGAGTGGGTGCATAAAATGGATGTTCAGCCAGCACGGGTTCTAGCGTGCAGCAGTAAGCAGCAGTAATGAACAACACGGGTAGAGAACACGCTAGTCTCTTTTGGCTACAGTGTTGAAGAGACTGTGCACAGAACCCACAAAAAGAGATGACAAGAGTGGGATTCGAACCCACGCCACTTGCGTGACTGCAATGCTCTTCAGATGTAATCTGGAGAAGGAATAGTCCTTGAGTGCAGCGCCTTAGACCGCTCGGCCATCTTGCCTTGTTGTAGATCAGTCCTCACAAAGTGCTTTATGTACAGCACAAAGCAAGCGAGCACCGCAGCCCACATCGTGCACATCATCACAGACAACCACAAGTGGTCTTCTTAGGATGAACCTATACACAGAGAAAGCACTTCTATATCTCAGCTACTTCAAAATCTGGCATATGTCTATCCCCAACCCCCCTACCACAGCCGCTTCCACCTCACCTTCATATCCCGATCCGGCGGAATCCCCACGGCCCCGATGAGCGACTGATCGTTCTGCGCCGGTCGATCCGACCTGGTTCCATCCGGATGAATCCAGTCGATCAGTTCGATCTCAAAACGAGTCACGAGAGCCGCGATCGTCATCAGAATCTCCTGTTTGGCGAACACCCGACCGGGACAGATGGACGGTCCGCCGCCTATATATATATCCGTCAGCATGAGCCCGTCAAAATCTTATCAGCTGCTGCAGGGGCATACCAAACGGAAAGAACGAGCTCGTCTTGCCCGTCATGGTAAATTCCGGCTTCTCACTCTCACGCTTGAGGTTGCGATAGCCCCAGAACTCCGAGGCCGGATGGCCCGGCGCACTCCACACCCCCTCGTTGTACTGGCCGATCTGGCTCGGGGCCTGGATCAACGACCCCGGCGTCAAGAGGAACCCGTCCAGGGTGATGGGCTGGGTGACCTCGCGGGTGACATTGATCGACACATGCAGGCGCAGGGTCTCGATGTACACGGACTGCAGCAGGGGCATGCCGAACAGCTTCTGGGGGTCGAAGCCGCGCCGGCCGGTGACGGGGTCGGTCGTGCTGGCGGCCAGACACTCGTCGCGCACCGCGCGGTACAGCGCCGGGTCGGCGACCAGATGCATCAGGGCCCAGGTGGACATGGGGACGGAGTTGGCGTTGGTCCCGAAGATGAAGGTGGCCACCATGCCCGCCGTCGTCTCCGGCGACAGATTCTCCGTCGCCCACTTGACCAGCTCGCGCGCCATCCGCGAGCCGTACTGCGGCTCCCACTCCGCGTCTGCCTCGGGGCCCGTCGGGTCGAACGCTTTGGCTGCAGCATCGATGTACCGGCGACACATCGCCTGAAAGTCCGCCTGCGTCTTCCACGGGCCCGGGTTCATCCACCGCGGCAGCCCCCACATCAGCTGCGGCGCGATGCGCGCAAACTCCCACATCATCGGCCAGAAGCCCGGGTTGAGCTCGACGAGGCGCGGGCCCATCAGCGCCTCCAGGGCGGCCTCGGCCATCTCGCTCTCGAAGAACTCGCACAGCCGGACCTCGCGCCACTCGTTCAGGGGCTGCTGGACGAGTCTGTCAGAGAACAGGTCGAAGTACTTGGTGGTCAGGAAGTTGGCCCGGTCGGTGCGCTGCAGGAACTCCGAGTAGATGTGGTGCTGGCCGTGCCAGAGCCGCGGCTCGCCGGGAGGGAGCTCGTGGCCGGGGATGGGGTTCTTGCGGCGGCCGGACTTGTCCTGGCGGAATTTCACCAGCTCAGCGGGTTTGGCGCCCCAGACGTTGGCCATCACGTCGAGGAAGAAGACCTCCGGGCTGATGCTATGCGAGGGGGTGTTGATGGCTTGGATGTTCTTCTCGCCCGAGACCATGTAGATCTTCTTGGGGCCGAGGCGGAACTTGATGATGTTGCTGCGGCGCTGGGCAGATCTGGAGGGAGTTAGTGGGTGGACGATGTGATAGAAATGATGGCGGGACTGACGCCACTCGCTGGAGGAAGCCATGCATGTCGGTCATGTATTGGTAGGTGTTGGTGATCATCCACCCGGACAGGGAGGGGGGTTCCTTGCCTCCATGTGGTTTGAACTGCCTGAAGATGACGGCCAGCACGAGGCCCAGGGCGATTCCGGAGTAGAGAAACATCGCGTCGATGATGCGGTACCCAGCAGGGGGGGATGTGGTACGAACGGAATGAGACTCGTGGCGGGGTGGCCTCCCTTTATGTGGGAAATCAGCAGGACGTGCATGATCGACGCGCCACAGCCTCGTTTTGTGAGTCCAATCCAGCTCCGGAAGATACTCCGGCCTTCGGTCATAAAAGGTACGCAGGAAAAGCCGATCATTCGGAGACGCTGTGCTACAAAACCTCCGAGTGGATGACGATCCTGGGGATTAGCCCTAACTCCTCGTCCTCATCTCCTACCTAGCACCTTTAATACCTCACCGTAAATCCGGACACAACCATCCAGTCATCTCTCACCACCACAGCGACTGCTCTCCAAAATGAGACACCCCACGCAAACCGCCATTGTCCAAACCCCCAAGGACAGCGACAACCCAACACATCTCCCCCTCAGCGTCTCCCCAACCGCCCCCGTCCCCTCCCCGCAATCGCCACACCATGTCCTCATCCGCATCCTGGCCGTCGCCCTGAACCCCAACGACCACAAGATGGTCACCTACTTCAACAAGCCTGGCAGCATCGCCGGCTGCGACCTCAGCGGCGTGATTCAAGCCCCCCACCCGGACCACCCAGACCTGCCCGTCGGCACGCGCGTGTGCGGGGCCTTGTTCCCCTACAACCCCACCGACAAGGGCGACAACGGCTCCTTCGCGCAGTACTGCACCGTCGACGCGCGACTGCTGGTGAAGGTGCCCCCGCACTGGAGCGATACCGAAGCAGCGGCGCTGGGCGTTGCATGGTCGACGATCTCGCTGGCGCTCAGCGATCCGCACGCGATGGGGCTGGAGGGGTTGCCCTCGCGGCCGGCGCATCAGGCCGGCGAGCCGGTCGTGGTGTACGGCGGTGCGACTGCGTCGGGCACGTTCGCGTGTCAGATGCTAAATCTGTACTTCCCCTCCCATTCTCTTCCTGGTTGCATTGACTATATAAGCTAGATACAGTATGAGCTAACGCGTGATAAAGAATGGGCTACACCCCCCTAGCAATAACCTCCCCGCAGTCCGCCCCGCTGGCCCTGTCCTACGGCGCCAAGGGCACAGCGTCCTACACAGCCAAAGACTGCGTGGCAACTATCCAAGCCCTCGCCGGAAAGCCCATCCGATATGTACTCGACTGCATCACGGACGCCGACTCCACGGCGCTGTGTTACAGCCTGCTGGCCCGCACGGGCGGCGTCTACGCCTGTCTCGAGGAGTGTCCCGCCGCGTGGCGGAGTCGACGCGCCGTCCGCGTCAAGGAGGTGATGGGTTTCCAGGTGCTGGGCACGGATCTCAATCTCGGGGAGTCGGCGTACACCCGTTCAGGGGATCCGGCGCTGCTGGCGATCGGGATGCAGTGGGCGAAGGAGGTGGAGGGGTTGATGGCGCGGCGCGAGATCAAACCGCATCCGTTGCGGGAGCTGAGCGGCGGGTGGGAGAGCATCATTGAGGGGCTGGAGATGTTGAGGAAGGGCGAGGTGAGGGGGGAGAAGCTTGTGGTGCGGATTCCGCAGTAGACAGCTTTCCATTTGGTTGTGGACAATGTTAGATGACCTCGCGTCTAGAAGAATGGGATGTTGTCGAATGTAAGCTCAACAGAGCAGTCTACTCTAGTCTATAAAAGCAGGCCGTCAAGGCAGATCAATTGCATCAAAGTGCGCCCAGAAATCCTTCTTCCACGCATTCACCAACTTCGTGACCGTCGGATTCCCAAAGGGCGCCTGCTGCGTGGCAAAGAAGCCGGCCACCCCTTGCTCACGATTCGCCCACCAGACGATATTCGTGGCCCCTCCCCAGGCCAGCATGGCCCCCGGCTGCCCGATCTCCGGCACCGGACCCACGCACAGCAACCCCCCCAGCCCGTGGTTGACCGCATCCTCTGCAATCGGGCCCGCCACGGTATCCCACGCCGGCCGCAAGCCCAGCAGCATCTGCACGCCATCCGACCCTTTCTCCAACTGCGGGACGAACATCTCCGCGACGGTCGCCCGCGTCAACAGCTTAGGCGAGTCAGACACGAGGTCCGCGAGCACGGCCAGGAAATCCCCCGTCGTGGCCGCCAGCCCGCTCCCGCCCTCCTGGTCCTCGGGGTTATCGAACGCCCAGCGCTCCAGCGGCGCCAGCGTCCCGTCCTGGGTCCGCACCGCCCCCTGCAGGATCTGGGCATGATACTCGGGATGCAGCATGATATTGAACCGGGGGAACGGGGCCACCCGCCCCAGAGGCTTGAAGATATGTTCCACGAAGTAATCCCCAAGGGAGATGCCCCCGTGCAGCCGACTGACCACCACCCCGGCCCAGTCCAGACTACATCCGTACAGCCAGCCAGTCCCCGGCTCGAACACCAGGGGCATTTTATATCGTTCCGTGATTTTCAGAGAGGGCGGCTCGGTGCGCGCCTCCGCCCGCAGCCGGAGCAGGCGGTGGGTGAACCTGTACCCCAGCCCCGAGGTATGCGTGAGGAGATGGCGGGCGGTGATTGGGACGGTGCTGGGTGTGAAGGTAAGCTGGCCGTCGACGACGTCCGTCAGGATCTCGATGTCTGCGAGTTCCGGGAGGATGGCGGTGAGGGCTTGGTCGAGGCCGATGAGGTTTTGGTCGATGCATTGGAGGAGGGCGATGCTTGTGATGAGCTTGGTGGCGCTGCCGAGTTTGAGGACTGCGTTCTCGTCGACGGGTGGGCTGTCGGAATCGAGGGAGGTGTAGCCTGCTACTTTGCTGTAGATCTCGGTTCCTAGCAGAGTGGAGAGTTAGGATAGGATGCAGAAAAAGCAATGAGGCATGAGGGTTTCAGAGAGAACTGGAGAAGAAGCAACGAGTGTAGGGGTAGGAGCTGGTACCGGTTCGGTCGACGCATTTGCAGATGACGCCGTGAACCTGGGGGTTTGTTTTGGCGGTGTATTCGGCTAAGAGCGCGTCGAAGTCGGTCATTTTGTTGTTTCGTCTGGTAGCCCGGGAATTAATGTCGAGAATGTATCATAGCAGAAGGGGATAGGCACTAGCAGAACAGAAAAACCCGATATGGTGGAAGATGGTGGGTTGTTGTGAGAGAAAAAGTGGTGAGGGGCAGAGAAGGAGACAAAGACCGTCCAAGGGAGAAAGTGAGGCGGGGAACAGCGAAGATCCCTGCTTAGCTCTGCATTAGCGAGACTCAAAGGACAAAGACTGATCAGATTGATGACAGTCAGGACGGTCACGACGCTGATGATACATCCTACCTGAATTCCTACCCAATTCACACAACTCTGCCCCTGCCCTCGAACCCTCTCAATTCGGAGGTTTCATCGTCCCTGTCGGGAATTATTCGGGAATTGTGTTGTCTGTCTCCGAGACGTACGGAGTAACTGTAACCCTAACCACCCCAGACAGACAGACTACTTCGTCCCCCACCCACCATGAATCAGCAAACGAACAACCCAAACTTCCATCTCGACCAAGCTCAGCCCAAACTCACCTCTCCTAATCAGCTCTCAGCACAAACATGACACTCCATCGCTACGCTCCCCTCCACATCAGCCCCCAGGGCCTCAACGACGCCCGCCCCAGCGCCACCCAGATCCTCGCCGATCAAAACCTCCTCGACACGGACGCCTGGAAAGACAGAACCATCCTCATCACCGGCGGCACCGCAGGACTCGGCGCCGAGTCCGCGCGCGTGCTGCACCGCACGGGGGCCAAGATCTTCATCACGGGGCGGGACGTGGCAAAGGGCGAGCGGCTCGCGCGGGAGATCTCCGCTGCGAGCCCTGATCCCTCAGCCCCGGCCATCGAGGTCATCCACATGGACTACTACAGCCTGCAGAGCGTGCGCGATGGGGCGGACGAGTTCCTCCGCCGCAGCGGGGGGAAGCTGCATGTCCTGCTGGCAAACGCGGGGGTGGTGGCGTCGCCGCGGCGCACCACGGATGACGGGTTCGAGGGGGTCTTTGGCGTGAACTACCTCGCGGGGTTCCTGCTGGTGCAGCTGCTGACTCCGGCGCTGGTGGCGTCAGCTACATCTGATTTCTGCTCCCGACTCGTGGTGGTGGCAAGTGCGGGCCATCGAGCCAAGAATATCGATCCGGAGGATTACAACGGATTAGTCGGTGAGTATAATGCCTCCAAGGCGTATGCGCAGAGCAAGACGGCGACGATCCTCATGGCCAATGAGTTCGAGCGCCGGTATGCGGGGCGTGGTGTACATGCGCTGAGTCTGAATCCGGGAATTATCATGGATACCGAGATCTCGCGTGGCTTGCCGGGGTCGTCGTCTGGAAGGCGGGAGCAGTACTACAAGATGGAGCCGTTGCTGGCGAAGATGGAGAAGAGCGTCGAGCAGGGGGCGGCGACACAGGTCTGGGCGGCGGTGGCTAGCGAGTTGGAGGGGAAGGGGGGGTTGTATCTGGATGATGTGCAGGTTGCCGACGAGGCGGATGAGGCGTCGCGCGGGCAGTTTGCATTGCCAGGATGGGCGAGTTGGATTTGGGATGAGGCGATGGCGGCGAGACTGTGGGAGGATAGTTTGAGGATGGTGGGGTTGGATGAGCAAGTGGATGTGTCTTAGGGTTGCCATGCTGTATCAGTGGTGAGCCTTGTTAAGTACTTGTCGACCTGTTTGTACTCTGCGAGGAATTGACCATTGGATTTATTGTCTGATCTTGTTGAAGGTTATGGATATACTTGTCGGGATTGAGATCTATAAGTTGCAACTGATCATCGCTACTGTCTGATACCGCAGTCTTACGTTCCTATATTGCTCTCTACGTAATCGGCAGATGATCATTACTAGCTGAGAGATAACATAGAAGACTCAGACACGAGAAAGCACGCAGCTCCTGCCCATTGTAAGAAGGGTCATCCTCTCAATTGTCACTCAAACCAGGGCTAGCTTCCAACTGTCGTCCCAGTCGCCCTACACGGCCGGTCGAGCCAGCATATTGGCATTGTAATAGAACGGAGGCTCGCTGTCCAAGCCAACAGCATGCAATCCCTCAAAGCCCGCCAGCTGCAGCCTTTGGTCCCATTCCTCTGGGGGGACACAGGGACCATCCGCGCGCCCATCCGCCTCACCCAGCCACCAGCCGGGCAAGAGTCCCTGTATGCGTCAGTAACCACGGCAATTCGGCCCAATTCGTACTCACCACCATGTAGTCCACATATTTCCCTGCTTTGAAATTGTCAGCACCTCCCCATTGAACCAGAGCATACACGACTCACGTGGCGACAGCTCCTGAAGAAAGAGCACCCCCTTCGGCTGGAGCAACAAGCGACAATGCTTCAGTGTTTCCACCAAACATGGCGTCGCATGCAGGACCTATACTCGTCAACCTCACGACCAACGTATAGATCAGAAGGTACTCTCACATTCGACGCAACAACAACATCAAATCGCCCGATCTCAAACCCCTGCTCCG